GGGCCCTACTGTGCATTGTGGACTGAAGTATAAGTTTATGCGTCCTTTTTTGGAGAGTGCCAACTGGCTTGGTTCCTAGATGGCAGTTAGGTACCAAACATCTACTTTAAACGTGTAGGCCTTTGATTTAGTAATCCTGTTGCTAGAGAATTTCCCCAGGGACATTTACACAAATGTTTGCCAAAATATCTGTACAAGGATGTTCACTTCAACCAGAAGGTGTAAGAGAAGGCTGGATAAGTGATTTATGGCCCTTCCATCTATTTCAGGGGTCCTCAAACTTTTTAAACGGGGCCAGTTCACTGTCCCTCAGACCGTTGGAGGGCCGGACTATAGTTTAAAAAAAAACTATGAACAAATTCCTATGCACACTGCACATATCTTATTTTGAAGTAAAAAAACAAAACGGTAACAAATACAATATTTGTATTTGCATGTGGCCTGCGGGCCGTAGTTTGAGGACCCCTGATCTATTTAATAGGGACTGCACAGCCATTAAAATAGATGAGTTAGATCTGTAGAGATAAACTTAAAAAGGTTTTCAGGTGAAAAAAAGACATAATAGTGTCCATAATAAATAGACTGTTGTATGTATATGACTTTTTTCCTTGTTAGAAGCACCTACAAAAAAGACTGTAATGAACAATCAGAGCCTTTAATGGGGTACAGATTGCTGTGTCTACTCATAATGGACCCAGGCTAGGTTTCCTGGGAATTTCAATTAAAGCTTAAGTAATTTATGGTTAGTGTGGGTACTCCAACCCTCCCATGTTTGCACATGTCCAACGGCACCAGTGTGGAGGGCAGGGTTGATGCTGTGTCCTGGGTGTGTGGTGGCCTCAGCTGGCCGGGGTTTTCCTAGGCACAGCTGTTCGGTGAGGGTAGAGAATATGACTTTAGTCGGCTTCCTGAAACAGAGGCTTCCTTTGTCGCTAAAGAATGGCAAACCCTTTCCTGGTTTGCATTCATCGGGATGAAAGGCAGTATAAATTCAAGGTCTAAATTGATTTTTAAAAACATAGCTGTCTAGATGAAGGTTAGTGAATCCTTGGTGGAAGTTGGGCCACTTTGTTTAGTGCACAAAAAGAATCATGCTTCGTTGATTCTAAGATGTGCTCCCCCACCCCCACGTATTAACAATCCTGAAACAGGGATGAGTCTTAAAAATCAGTGATATGAGAAAACATTGGTTTATAATTTAGTTAGTATCATCTTAACTTTTTATTCCTTTTCTTTTCTTAGTGATATAAGGTACAAGTGTAAAATTACTAGATTCAGTTAAAAAACACCAGCACAGCAGTTTTTAACACAAGGTCTACTTAGTGTGGTGGACAGGTGCAGTACCATTCTGTTTAGTTAAAATGAATATGTAGAGAGTTTGTATGTAAGTGATGCTTCTGATGGACTCCAAATCTATTTATTCTTGTAATATCCCCTCTAAAATTTGTTTATGTAAAAGGTTTAATGTTTTCTCTTTCAATAGTACCCCGAACAAGTCTAATTTTTAATTTAGTAGACGTTAAATTATGGTCGTCTTAGCTGTATTGTGGTCATTCATTTTTCCCTTTTGTAATAGGAGTTATTACTATATTCTGGGTTTTCTTGGAAATTTTTTAAAATTTTACTAACATTTGAAGGTGTTTAAAAGCAACTTTTAGTTCACAGAAAAGTTAAAAGGTAGAGATTTCCCATCTAATACCTGCTTCCACACATGCTCAGCCTTTCCCATTTTCAACATCCCCACCGCAGCGGCTTATCTGTTAAAATTGAATAACCCAAAGTCCATAATGTGCATTATTATTCACTCTTGGTGGTTTACATTATACGGTTTTGAACAAATGGACCATCACTATAGTATCAGATAAAATATTCCCTGCCCTAAAAAAAATAATAAAAAAAAAAATCTCTGTGCTCTGTCTATTCATCCCTCCTCTCTCCAACCTGATTTTTTTTTTTTTTTACTATCTCCATAGTTTTGCCTTTTTCAGCATGTCATATAGTAGGAATCATATAGCATGTAGCCTTTTCAGACTGTCTGTCTTCACTTAGTAATATTCATTTATGATTCCTCCATGTCTTTTCATGACTTGATAATTATTGTTTTTATATGCACTTTAATTTTTTTTAATTTTTAAAAAATCTTTGTTGAATGTAATATTTCCCCCCCTATTCACTCCTTGTAGCCCATCCCCACCCCATTATTTCCTTTTAGTGCTAAATAATATTCCATTGTCTAGATGTACCACAGTTAATCTGTTCACCCACTTGGACATCTTGGTTGCTTTCAAGTTTTGGCAATTATGAATAAAGCTGCTAGAAACATCTTTGTGCAGGTTTTTATGTGGATGTAAGTTTTCATTGTCTTGGGATAAATTCCAAGGAATGTGATTGCTGGATCATATGATAATAGTTTAGTTTTGTAGCAAAGATGTTTTTACCAGATTTCCTTTCAATTGTAATTGTTCACATCATTATTTCTTTCTTGTGATTTTTTTTCCCCATCTTAATCCCATTATACTCATGGTTTTAGAACAAAGAGATCCTTATAGAGACCCTGTCTGCAGTCTCTTGGGAACTACAAAAAGGAGGAGGGTATTGGTTCTTGGGGCCGACTGGAGATCCTGAAGCCCAGAGGCGGGTGTCTGGTGGCTCTGTTCTCTGCGATACTGCTGAATACTTGTGATGAAAGGAAATAGCCTATCATGACCACTTCCTTGTTTTGGGTACTTAAGAGGTGAAGTGTATTGTTATATATAATGTGACTACATTAGCAGAGGCTGTGAAAGAAGGGTATTGGCTTTGGAAGTGGGTTAAATCAGGAACTAGTTCTAGATAATGACATGTCAAAGCATAAGGTAGCCAGGGCTGGCAGAGAACTAACCAGATGTGTTTTTTAAACAGATTGCATTTCTACTAATTATTCTGGTCTTCCAGAACTGGGACCATTAGTCTTTCACCTGTAGTGCCAGGTACTGTCTTGGCTTAATAGAGTGGGCATGTCTTTGACTCTGTTTCTACGAGTCCTTACATGTTTTGAAGACAGCTTCTTTCTGAGCAGGAAGGAAATGGCCAGGTAATAACCTGGGAACTTTCCTGTGTGTCCCTTGCCCACCCACCCCATGGAGTGTGGGCAGCCCTGTCATTCTGGCTGACTGGTCCCTGGGTGAGAGCTTTCCCTTTCCCATTCTGGGCCTGCACCTACAGACCGACGTCTTCCACGTCTACAGTTGCGTAGCGCCCCAAATTTATTACTCTCTGCTCTTGAACATTTGGGTTGTCCCCATTTTGCTATTATCAATGAGGCTGAAGTGAATGCCTTACTCTGAGGTTTCCAGGATCTAGTGTCAAGCTTTATTGTTTTCAGGAAAAATAGTTTTGGTGTGTCTTCCAATTCCAGCTCTGTCACTGGTAGGAGCCACTTCTGGGCTTAACAGAATTCAAGGATTTCCACAAATACCACAACAGGCCCACCTGCAGCCTGTAGGGTTAGGAAATGTTCCCTCCGTATGCTCCCTCAGCGCCCCTCAGGAAGGCTTCCCCTGCTGACCGCACCTGCTCCTCTGGGCTGTGCTGACTGCCACTGGCATCTGCTGGAAGGAGGGGTGAGGCACTGGGAGGTAGCCTTACAGTGAACCTTTTCTTCTAATTTAGACTTCGGGATATATGTAAGGTCAATGAGATTATTTAAGGGAAAGAGAAGTTCTTGAGGTTTCTGTTATCTGAATCATCTGCTTGACTTATAGAATAACTGTGCCTTACAGATGGGCCTTTTTCTCTTTTTTTAAACCTGGAATAAAGATTGTTATTCTCGGAGGTGATTATAGGTTGAGTTTCAGTGGGACAGTTAATCCAGCAGTTAATCTTTTCTCTTCAGTGCAATAATGCATGTAAAAGCTTTTGGCGCTGTGGCTGGCACAGAGTGAGCTCTCAGTGAATGGTACATGCCAACTAACAGTTATTGTCCCCTTTTCAGCACAGGGAATACAGTCAGTGTTGTAATAACTATGTATGCTGTCAGGTGGGTACTAGACATATTTGGGGTGATCACTTTGTAAGTTATATAAATGTCTAATCACTGTTGTACACCTGAAACTAATATGTATTATGTAACAACTATAATTGAAAAAAAAATTTCAAGGCAAAAAAATTGTCCCCTTCTTTTGAAAGGCCTTCTCCCTCATTCCACTTTTGCTTGTTCCTCAGAGAATCACATATTGGAAGATGTGAACAAATGTGTCATTGCTCTCCAAGAGAAAGATGTGGACGGGCTAGACCGCACAGCTGGTGCAATCCGAGGCCGGGCAGCCCGGGTCATTCATGTAGTCACCTCTGAGATGGACAACTATGAGCCAGGGGTCTACACAGAGAAGGTGCTGGAAGCTACCAAGCTTCTCTCCAACACAGGTATGGGAACTCCCTGCCTTACTGGTGCTCCCCACACAGCCCGGGTGGGCTAGGCCAGGCCCTGTGGGTGGGAAGTAGGAGACCAGGACTCAGGCCTTAAGTGTTCTGGGTGGACACTAGACTTGTGAGAAGTTGGTCAGCCAAATTAAGGCCTCACACACACGTTTCCTTCATGTGGGTGCCATGATTAATGAGGGGAATAATTCTTTTTTTTCTCCTTGCCCGAGGATATGTTTTTTTAAGTTGATTTTAGAGAGAGGGGAAGGGAAACATCAATTTGTTACCTCCCATACACGCCCCGACCAACGATCAAACCTGCAAACTAGGTATGTGTTGTGACTGGGAATCGAACCTGCATCCTTTTGGTGTGAGGTATGAAGCTCCAACCAACTTAACCGCCCAGCCAGGTCTGAGGAAATAATTCTGAAAGCACTGTTTAAGATTAATTTTTGAGTTAAGTCTTCTGTTAGTGAATAAATACTAATTTAAGGAGGGTCCCATTCTTAAGGCCTCAAATTAACCTTACTTCAATGTTCTCAACCATCGAAATCCTTTATTGTAAAATCTGGTCAGAGACAAAGAGGATGATTCGAGTCTTGGTTGAAATACATTTAATTTATTTCAGCCATAAATCTCACATAGGTAGAAGTGGAAGCTCTTCATCAGACACCTTGCCTCTTTCTGAGTGAGGTAGATTCAGGGAGGGCTATAGAATGATGATGTCTGCTGGGCCTCTTTTCTCTGCAGTTATGCCGCGTTTTACTGAGCAAGTAGAAGCGGCCGTGGAAGCCCTCAGCTCGGACCCCGCCCAGCCCATGGATGAGAATGAGTTTATCGATGCCTCCCGCCTGGTGTACGATGGCATCCGGGACATCAGGAAAGCGGTGTTGATGATAAGGGTGAGTAACTGCATTTCGGATGTTTTAATAGCTTGTTCTTATCATTTGCTAACCTTGAGAACAATGCATCATTCTGGAACTCAGCAGATGTATTGGCAGTATATTAAAACCATGAATCTAAAAGCTGTTAGAATGAGATATATTTAATTACATTGTCTGAAATGACTGTTAGTTGCAAGTTAGAGCCCAAACTCAGACTGAGAACAGGAGCTAGTATGAGTTGCTCCTGATGATTTTAGAGCACACAATCACCACAAATAGGTTTCCATTTGCCTTAGAGGGAAACTATAGAAAATAAAGGCTTTTTAGTTAATTTCAGAGAGGGGAGTATTCCTTATTGCAGGTTGAAGTTATTCTTCACATGGAGCTCCCCCCCCCCCCTTTTGAAGGGGTGGCAGGCAGGATGCTAGAACCCCAGTTCAGGGTGAGGATGAGCGACTGTGGCAGCCCTGGTCATGTTCCCTGGCTCAGGGCCCCCATGTGGCCCATCGTCTCCGAGAGCAGCAGTTCTCACCATCTGAAAGTCCAGCCCCTCTGGGTTGGCATAAACAGGTTTTGAGAAGCTCCAACCCCTCTGTAATGTACCCCCAGGGTGCTCGGCCTGGGTCTCGCAGCTGCCTTTCCCATAGCAGTCATCCTTCACATGCTGTTCTGAGCACAAGTGTGTAGCCATCCTCAGCCCCTGTCCGCAGCATAGGTGGCTGCTTTGCTGTCGATCTAGTTGGATCAGAGGAGCTTCATTCACAGCTTCATGGTTTGCTAGTCAGACCTCAAGGTAGGCAGGGATCTGTCTCACTTTTTACCCCCTCAGCCTGACAGCTACAGAGCCTAGCTGGACTGTCAGCTGGAAAGAGACCATTTCTAAGGCAGTTGCATTAGGCTGGATCCATTTTATATGCAGTGTAAGACTGTACTGCTCTGAGGTGAGGAGGAAAACAACTGTTCAGAGATGGCCTGGTTGGCTGTTCCTGCAGGCCCCAGGTCACCCCCGACATGTTGGGGTGGGCCGGGAGCTTGTGGAGCCTTTTCCTTTCTTCAGTCCTGCTGCTGCTAAAGAAGAACCCATATTATGTAGAGGCCATATCTCAGTGGTGTGAAGGGATCCCCGGATCACATACACCAGGGCCAGTGAACACAGCCCTATTTCTCCAGAAGCCTTTCCATGATGACAGACACCTAGAAACAGTAAAAGAAACCTTAATGATGGAGGAGGCTAATGCCTTTGGGGATTTCAGTGGCTGAAACTGCATACCTCCAGGAGGTGCTTGCGAATTCCAGAGTCCTTTCTGAGGAAGCAAGTAGGGTTGTGGGAAACCACATCTTAGGGTCAGGCAGCTGGCTTGGCTTCCTCTTCCAGCTCTGGAAGGATAAAATGGGCAATAGTGACGTCGTGTTTTGCGCTCCCAGCTCGGAGACACTCCGGGATCTTGTGTTGATGTGCTCTTGGTGTCTCATGTACCTCTGCTATTCTCACCTCTTCCCATTGAGGGAGAGGCCTGGCCCTTGCACATGTACAGACTCTTGGCGGTTTCAGGTGCTTCTCACACGTCCTCTCATTTGAGCCTCACAGCAAATCTTGGGGCTGGGCTTGGATCAGGTCCTGGGGCAGATGAGGGCCTGCCCTCCTGTCACAGGCAGCTGTTCTGCCTCCTGCCCCCTTACTGATGACTTCCAGATGACATTATGTTTCAAGTCAGCAGCTAGTCATGTGAGGCTGGAGGCTGTGCAAAATAAGAATTTTATTTCATAATTAAAGCAGAACTAGGACCATTAATTAGTTCCTTTGGTATTTAGACCTTACCTGCCACATTCTCTCTTTTCCTTTTATCAAAGGAAAAAATACATAAAAATTAACTATTTTTACCCCTCAAAGCAGCCTTTGGTACCCTAAGAGAAGGCCCAGTATTATTTAATACATTTAATGTTCTTCTTGTCATAAAGTGGAAAAGTTAAGAAACTGCCTAATATTGTGTAAAATACCTCTATTTTTAAATTAAAATACCTTTTCTACCCTGGACAGTTCTCATCTTTGTCTTTAGATGCAGCTGTGGGAGGAGTACATTAAGAAGTATAAATCTGATGTCAAAGAGAGTCTTGACTCAGGGGTGGGAATTGGAGCCCTAACCCCCAAAAAGGAATCCCTTGGCCCTTTGGCAAGTGTGGTGTGGTGCCCTGGCCTACTGTTTGTTGGATGAGCCACCCACAGGTGCACCTGTGAGGCAAGGTCTCAAACGAATAGTGAGTGCTTTTAGCTATTACCCACATCTGTTTAGAATCCTGCACATGAAAATTCTGGGTGTCCCTACATCAGGCAGGGTGTGGACTGAGTGGCTCGGGACAGCGGGAGGCCTACGTTGTATCTGGCTCATATCTCTCTCTTGATGGCAGACTCCTGAGGAGTTGGATGACTCTGACTTCGAGACAGAAGACTTCGATGTCCGCAGCAGGACAAGCGTCCAGACAGAAGATGACCAGTTGATAGCTGGCCAGAGTGCCCGGGTAAGGAATCAGTTAAACTTGTTTTGGCCCTCGCCAGTTTGGCTTAGTGGATAGTGTGTCAGCCTGCACATAAAAGGGTTGCAGGCCCGATCCCCAGCTGGGGTGTGTGTGTGAGGCAACCAATCAATGTGTCTCTCAAAAAAAACAAAACTTGTTCTGCAGACCTTCTCTGTCCCTCTCAGGTCTTAGCTTTTCTTTTCCAGGAAAATACTCTATTTTGAGAACCCAATTTTCCCTCTTTTCTTCTGGCCATAGGACGGAAGTTGTGGCACCTGCTAGTCAATTGTAGGTTTCTCCAAAGTGTCTCCTCAGTTGTGCCCTGGGGCTTTGGTTTATGACAATCCTGCATCAGGAGAGCCTGAGGATCTAATCAACACAATGGTGGTTAAAAAGATTGCGGTCTTTGTCCATGTCAGTTACACTGAAATATTTATTTATGGGTTAAATAAAATAACAGTGTTACATTCAAGAGAATCAGTCAGAACCTTTGCATCCATTTGAGTCATTAAATCTTCCATCAGTAGCATTTTTGTTTTGGGGAGGATGCCAAGAAATATTTCTAAGGAGTCCTTTTTCACTTCTCAGATATTTTGAACAGCGAGTACATCCCTGCTTTAGGCCCCACTTTGTCATGAGCACTTTGGGGAGAGCCCAGGTGCTACTTTGGTAAGGTGTCAATGCTACTGAGCTATACAAAGTGTATATACCTCAGCAGGTTCTCTGCTGCCTCCTTTAAAATTTACATTCTAAAGGCACTTCCAGTTCACCTTGAAAAGTTAAAGATGCAATGCGGCCACAGGAAATGCTTGGGAAAGCGCCACCAGCATTAGCCCTTCTCTCATCTGCGCCCTCACAGGAGACAGAGGATGAAACTTTTGCAGAACTCAATTAAGCAGGCTCTGTTCCTGGGCCAGTGTGATCCCGAAGTGTCCACATTAGCCTTGTACCCCTTATACTCTTGTTTTCCTTCACATTAAAATTTGTTCTTAAAAGTGGGTTGGGAATGGCCCTTCAGGCAAAATGAAACCTATTAAAGCATTATCCTATCTATGTCATAGATTGCTCGGTGGAAATGCTTTCGGCTAATGTACTGTGAGAATGTCATATTCTTTCCATGTAAGAGCTTTCTGTGCTTCTGATTTTAGGCAATCATGGCTCAGCTTCCCCAAGAGCAAAAAGCAAAGATTGCAGAACAGGTGGCCAGCTTCCAGGAAGAAAAGAGCAAGCTGGATGCTGAAGTGTCCAAATGGGACGACAGTGGTAACGACATCATCGTGCTGGCCAAGCAGATGTGCATGATCATGATGGAGATGACCGACTTCACCCGGTGAGCGGTGCCCGGCCCACAGCCGCAGAGGCAGCCATCTTCTCTTTTCTACTCACTGCCAACTATGAAGGGCTTCACGTACAATGATCCTTGTTCTTTTTTCAGAGGTAAGGGACCGCTCAAAAACACATCAGATGTGATCAGTGCTGCCAAGAAAATTGCAGAGGCAGGATCCAGGATGGATAAGCTTGGCCGCACCATCGCAGACCATGTAAGTAACAGACCTAACATGTGGGTCTCAGCCCAGCCTGGTCCATTCCTGAGGCAGCAATAACAATTATTTTCAGGGGACACAACACTCATCTCAAAAATTGTTCTTAACTTGCCAACCAGCATAGAGTTTTAAGAATTTCTGAATAATTCTTTGGTAATTCTTGAGAGAACATACCTGGAGGTGTGTCTGTCCTGAATAATAGCTAAAATCTAGCCTCTCCTGGGGACGTGTGTATTCCTAGTTCTCTTCAGAACTTGAGCTCTGGGCAGGCACTGCTTCCAAGCCTACCACGCTGACCCCAGGTGTGCGAGTGCCTCTTCTCGTGGATTTGCTTCTTAGAAGCAGCAGGATAATGTGTCCAGTTGGGGACAGACATGTGTCCTCAGCACTGTGAGTTCTCAACTACCCAGCTTTCATAAACCCTTTATTCCCTGCAGTGATACGTCAGAAAATGTGGTTCCTACTCCTGGAGAGTTGACATTTTCCTTTGATGTTCCAAGACTTATTTACTGGAGATGCTGTTTCTCAGTTACAGTTCTCTGTAGTCTAAGCCCTTCCCCTGAGGTATCAAGCCTCTCACCCTGCATCTGGGCTGAGGGACAGCAGTGCCTCATCGCTCAAGCCAAAGATTCAGAAGTCATCCTAACCCCTCCTTCCCACAATCCAGTGCTAAGTGCTATACTTCTACTGGCCACCATCTAGTCTTGTCCCCTCTTCCAGAGCCAGCTCAGGCCGACCTCCACAGCCCATGCCTGGACTACTCCTTGTGGCTGCTCCTCACTGCTTCCCCTCTCTCTTCTCCACGCCGTCCTCCATACAGCTGCCAGTACAGTCTTCCTACACACTCATCTAAAGTGCATGTCTTAATAGGGCTCTGCTGTGTTCCGTAAGATTCTTAAATTCAAAATTTCCAGCATGGTCTACAGGTTTGTCTGTGCCCAGTCTCCCAGAGGGAAATGTTTGCTATAAATACCTGAGAGGTGCTCTGTATTTCTTTCTCTGGGTAAAGCTTCCTGAGCTTTGGCAGCAAGACAGGAATTGGGCAGCGGCTGCCCTTTAATTTTCCAGTGGCTGGTCAAGACCTCGCAGTCTCCCACTGCTTGTTCTCTTGCTTTGATTCACTCATCCTCCATCTTTGCCTGAAGTGAACCTCTCCTTTCACCAGGTGTTTACGGTGTGTATCATAATTGAGCAGAAGAGCTGTTGGGATGGTTGTTAGCAAGCTCAGAGCACTCTGGCTTTTCTTCAGAACCAAGCTCTTGCTTGCTGACGCTTTTTTCACCTTTAGGGGCTTGGGCCCAAGCAGAGGGCAGCCTAGAGCCAAACTGCCCCAGGTAATTGGGTAACTCATCTCTCATGCCCTTTGCTCCAGCAAGGAGAGAGGAAGCCTCTCTTGGTGGCACACAGAGATTTAGAAACAGCCCCCGGGGGTAGGTGTGTTTAGATCAGGCCTGGGTGCTCTGCTAAACTTATTCTCCCGTCAGTGTCCAGACTCGGCCTGCAAGCAGGACCTGCTGGCCTACCTGCAGCGCATCGCCCTCTACTGCCACCAGCTCAACATCTGCAGCAAAGTCAAGGCCGAGGTGCAGAACCTTGGTGGGGAGCTCGTTGTCTCTGGGGTAAGTTTCATCTGTGAAAAGAAGTGGGTGGTGGGAATAGTCTGGCCTTTGTCCACATACACTCCTTACCTGCCCTGAACTGGGAAGGTGAGCTGTGGAAAACCCTGAAGTTTCTTCCTTGGAGGCCAAGGGCTGGCTGCACCTCAGTTGCAGGTATATTTTTAATCTTCCCTGTTTTTCTTTCCCCACAGAAGAATTGAGCCTGTTCAAAAATTGCAAAGATGATATAGCAAGGCTTTCTCAAATCTCCTCTACCCCTCCAAGTGCTTCAGTATTATCACCCCTCCTTGTCTCTTTACCATGTCACTGTTCTGGACCTCTCCTCACCTGGGGGAGGGCAAAGAGGTGATCTCGCTCGGTGTGCTGGGCTCTATTAATTCCCTGGAATTTCCTTTCAAAGAAATTGACACCATTTGGTCACCTGCTACAAGTCAGTGCCCCTGGCCATGGCTGACTCAGGCCTCCTCCTCCAGCTTGTTTGAGGGGTGAGGGGGAGGTGGCGATGCCTTACATTCTTGTTACTGTTCCCTTTATTTCTTCAGAAGATCTGAAACAGGCCTTTTAGGGTATTTGAATAAGAGCAGCCAATTATATGGGGCTGTGGCCCACCCCTGAAGGGAAGGAGGAGGGGGCTCCCCCCTCACCCAACCCTGGGGCTAAAGGTCAGGCCTGTGCTCCTCACCGCCCATGTTTGTGTCTCTTAGGTGGACAGCGCCATGTCCCTGATCCAGGCTGCCAAGAACTTGATGAACGCCGTGGTGCAGACAGTGAAGGCCTCCTATGTGGCCTCCACCAAGTACCAGAAGTCGCAGGGCATGGCTTCCCTCAACCTCCCGGCTGTGTCGTGGAAGATGAAGGCACCTGAGAAAAAGCCCTTGGTGAAGAGAGAGAAACAGGATGAGACACAGACCAAGATTAAACGGGCGTCTCAGAAGAAGCATGTGAACCCTGTGCAGGCACTCAGCGAGTTCAGAGCCATGGACAGCATCTAAGGCTGCCCTCGCCAGCTGCCCCCACCCATCGGGGCTCTTAAGATCAGTCACTGTTCTTCACTCAAATGTATTTGCTAAATAGAGCACTGATGTTAGAGT